CTCAAATGATTACACTGCCTGAAGTATTGTGGATGTATTTGATTCTTTTAAAAAAGTAGAAGTCCCAGAGGCAGAGGGAAAGGTTTTAGGGCGGGGGGATTCCAGGTTGATTTGCATTGTCATATTGTCATATTGTCAATGGAAAACAATGTGAATAAGACCCAAAATCTTGGAGCATTTTCTGCTTTATGGAACTCTTTTCTTGCTGGTTAGCTTGAACTTTCCACTTTTGGTGTCAGTACAAATTTACAGTACAAACCTTTGAGGCTTTCATAGACAGCTAAGTGTGTTGAGAATATTCAGAAACATCAAACTCAGCTTAAATTTCTTAGTGCGGCTAACTGTTATCCTGTACATTTGTGTGTGCTTGCATTTAATTATTTCATTGTTCAGCAAACCACTTAGTGAGAGTATGCCACAGTAGAGCAGAGACAAATGTGTTGAATGAATGAATGAATGAATGAATGAATGAATGAATGAATGAATGAATGAATGAATGAATCAATCAATCAATCAATCAATCAATCAATCAATCAATCAATCAATCAATCAATAGCTTCTAGGGACTACAATATTTCTCATCTGTACTTTTAGCTTATGCCTAGATGTGTATTGGATATCCAGTCTGGTGTAGCAGACAGAGTGACAGACTAGGACTCAGGAGGCCTGGGTTCAAATCCCCACTCAGCCATGGAAATTCACTGGGGTATGTGGAGCTGATGCAACTATTCCTTAAATATCTCACTTACCTTGAAAGCTCTATTGTGGTTGCTATATGTGGGTTCTGACTTGATTGCACATAACAACAAATGTGTGTATCATACTACAGTGAGATCACACACTTGGCGACAGGGCCAAGCACTCAGAGTACCAGTCCTCAAGCAGATGTCATAAGCTCTTCATGAGCCATAAGTCAGAGCAGAAACTGTTTTGCTACTTGATGGCTGTTGTGGGTTTTTTGGGCTCTTTGGCCGTGTTCTGAATGTTTTTCTTCCTGATGTTTCACCAGTCTCTGTGGCCGGCATCTTCAGAGGACTAGAGTAAGAACTCTGTCCAGTCCTCTGAAGATGCTGGCCATAGAGACTGGCGAAATGTCAGGAAAAACAACTTTCAGAACATGGCCAAAGAACCCGAAAAACCCACATCAACCATCAGATCCCAGCTGTGAAAGCCTTCGAGAATACATTGTTTTGCTACTTGTTTGTTCTATGCAGTTTACTCCGACAATGAAACTTTTGTTAGGTGCATTAATACTATTTTGGTGCATAGCAGCTGAAAGGTGGTTCAACCTGAATTGGCGCCATGGCACCAGAGAGATTGATTTAAGCCTTTACCCACCTAAGATTTCCGCAATGACAACTGTCTCTTCTCTTCTCCCACCCACCAAAGTTGCTGTTTGCCATGCTGAGGAAACTTCGCATGACCCCAGGCCAGCACACTTGTTTTTTCTCTGTCTGGGAAAATATCAGCTCCACGCAAGAGGATATTTTTATTAGGAGAACTGCATGGGGGGAAAGGGTTAACCTGCCTTTTCCCCATGCCATTTTCTGGGTTCTGCTCCATCTCCTCTTTTGCAGCTATTTGCCCAAATTTAAAAACATGGGAATACTAGTCAGGAATATCTGTTCTAGCGACTAAATTTTGCCTGGAAGGGTGTTATTTTTATGCACTACCAAAGTGGCTGCTTATTAGAGGCAGCCAAGAAAGCAAAAATCTCCAAGAGCTACACGAAGTAGGTTATTTACTGTCTAATCTTCCTTTCTTAAATCTCTCTCTCTTACATATATCACTTTGTGCTACAGGATCTACTCCTGAATAGCACCACTTTCAGGAACAAAGGAGCAGAGAGATTTCAAGGAATTAGCAAGCAGACCTTGAAAAAGTCCCTTTTAGATTACAAATTGCAGGTTACACCTGCGAGAACAATATTTGTCCAAGCTCTGGGAAAATATACGGTAAGCAAATCTGATACTATTATATGGTAAATAGTATGCCACACTCATCAAGGAGTCATCTTTTTGCAGATTCACTTGGAAAAGGAAGGAAGTGAAGACCTTATTTCTCTCCCTCGTTGATCCTTTGTCAATAAGTGTCAACTGCTGCCTCCAGAGATGGCAGTGGGAGTGGATGGCAGGTGGCACTTTGTGGGGCAGCTTATTAGATCTTGGTGCTCCAGTTGCTGACTTGGGTAACTCGAGGGCCATTCATGGAACTCAGCAGCAAAGGCTGTAGCTTTCTTGGCCTCTCCATCAAAAAGACTAACACTTGACTTAATCAGACAGAATCAAGGAGGGAGACTGTTTTGTCTTAGCCTTGAAAGCTTTTGCTCTTTGTGTTGCCCATATATTTTTCAGACTCACCATGGCTCTACCTCCTGACCAAAAGGTGGTGCCATAACCTTGCTAAGTTCCATTAGGTTTCAGGTTCTGCTACTGTATGTAGCTCAATCCATTTCCTCACCTATGAGGAACCAGCTTGACTTCTTAGGTTTTCTCCCCATTGATTTTATAAGGATTCACCATGGCCCATTAGTCATATTTTCAAGGATGCCGGTAAATACCCCATGCAATACAAGAGGCGTACTTTGCAGCTTCCTGGGCAGCATGCAAGGGATTGTGGGTCACACACTCTGTCAGGCATGAGGTGCAACCATTTGGGGCAAGACAGGTTACAATGCTACACTCACTCACCTAGGAATAAGCGCAATGAACTGAGTAGCACTTACATTTCAGTAGCATCTATCGTGCTGTGCAGATGAATGTGCAGAATTTACAACAGCCCTTAAAATAATTAATATTACATTGGGAACCTTGTTATATATTATACAGATCTTTGTGAGTCTTTGAGATCCACAAAACAGGAGGCCTTTCAGTGTATCCAGCCTGACAAAGATATCTGAAATAATCTCCTTGTAACTGACAGCTTCTTAGCTTCATCTCCTAGTCCAGAAGATAAGAAGGGGAAACAACCTATATATCAGTGGTCAGGGAACAGGGGTAAAGTACCCCAAATGGGGTAAAAATGAAAATTCTGGGGGTAATAAGGACGGTCGCTGCAGGCATTTTACCCCCGGGCATTTTATTTCTGATGATGCTATGTGTAGGCAGGCATTCCGTCACAGGGAGAGTGAGCCCTGGCAAGGAATTGCATAGGGCACCCCCCTGTCCTCCTCGCCTCCAAAGTGGGGGGAGGGTGGTGTACCAGGCCAGCTGGACTCTTTGCCCAGCGGAGCCCTGGCCGGGCTTCTCCTTCCTTCCCCCTCCCACCTGTCCGGTTCGCTGGTGAGGAGGCCCCCCTTCCCACCCCGCCTCATTTGAGCTCATGGCCAGTGGACCTATGATTGTGGAGAATTTACAACAGCCCTTAAAATAATTAATATTACATTGGGAACCTTGTTATATATCATACAGATCTTTGTGAGTCTTTGAGATCCACAAAACAGGAGGCCTTTCAGTGTATCCAGCCTGACAAAGATATCTGAAATAATCTCCTTGTAACTGACAGCTTCTTAGCTTCAACTCCTAGTCCAGAAGGTAAGAAGGGGAAACAACCTATATATATATATATATGCATGGCACTTGATCGAAGAATTAAACTGGACAACTATTTCTGCCTGTTCTCCAGCAAAATCTAATAAATGCAGGATTTGTTCCTTCATTCTTTTGTCATCCTAGATCCCTGGCCCACCTGCAAGCCAACCAAAGATGCTGTACGCAGGTGAGTAGTGCATCTCAAAAGATTCGAGTGTAGGTAGAAAAGTTTCCTTATTATTTCAAAATTAGCTACCTATCTTGCACCAGGATTTGGGAGGTTCCGGTCAGAGTCCCCTCTGAGCAATGAAAGCCACTGGGTCAACATGCATCTGTAACTCTCTCTCTCTCTCTCTCTCTCTCAACATGGCTTCCTTCAACAGGATGGTTGTGAGTACGTACGTATAAGGAGAGGCAAAGCATTGCTGGGTATGCTGGCTTTAAAATATTGGAAGAAGAGTGAGATATACTGCATATTGTCTCACTAGCTGTTCTTTGTTCCTGACCTTACTATTATTATTTTTCTTCAAAAAGCAGGTTTCTTTTTCCTTACTTGCTTAGCTGCCTCAATACCAAATATAATGAATTTGTGCTTGTGGTGAAGGAAGACAGGAACTCACTGACTGCCCAAGATAGGAGGCTACCTCATCCCTAGATAGAAAATGGTTCATCATTCTGGAATATTCTGACCAGAGATGGCAAGCGGTGGGGGTGGGGGGATAACCAGTTGATTGGAAGCATACACTCTTCTCTGGCTTCCAGTGCAAATGTGACATGCTGGGTGACTCCTCATAAATGACGAATTGTTTTTATGGGTGAGCAGTCCATTGCCACCACTTTTTTCTTTAGCTTACCAAGCACCCACCCATTCCTCTCAACCTCCATGAGTGCTTGAAGTTCTGAGTATGCCCACCTCTTATTTGCTTCTTCCTTTCTTCTTCTCTGGTTTGCTAAGGCATTCTCAGTCACTGATATCTTGCTCTCCTGAATTTTTTAATATGGCCCTGATAGATTCCCTCAGGATTACACAGTAAAGCTTGTGGGGCAGGATGTCCCATTCCAATGGAGGGTGGTGACTCCACTCCAGATTTTAGTCTAAACTTTAAGGTTGCTATCCAAGGTGATGAACCTGTTTGGGGCACAGAGTTCAGAACTTTGGGTGGTCTTAGTAAAGTTCAAACTAAAACCTGGAGCAGATTCAACATTTGTATGAAATTGGAGTCCTTCCTACCACAGTCCATCTGTGATATAGATTTGGATAAAATTATATGTAAGGCTCACAGAGCCCCAAGAAGCATGCTGAATTTCAGACCATATATGCCATGAAATAGCATTGAATTGCAGAGCAAATCTTGTGCTAAAAAAAGTTTAACAGCACACGCTCATGTTTTTAATTAGCATATTTTTATTTAAAAGGTAGAACAACTTGAATAATTCTATATTTGGATTATTCTAAGATACATGTGTCAATTTCCACATACATTTCAAACCAGGGCTCTGCTTTAGCTCTAGAAAATAGATATACAGTACTCAAAATCTAGCTATGGTACATACACAAGTATAAATAAGCTTAATATAAACAATAGTCTGTCGTGTGCAGTGTTCAGGCTTCCATGGCATCATATCAATATTTCCATGACTGAAATCCTATTTTGCTTGCAGAACTAGAAACAGAAAAGAAAATGCAGAGATTTATTTAGTAACTGATATTTTCAGCTGCTACAATAGCAGCTTCTATGGTAGAGAAATAATGTATAGAATCCGGAGGCCCAAGATGTGATGGATTTAAAATGGGATCAGTCAAATTCACAAAGAGCTAAAGAGAGCAGGTAAGAAGAACTAAGGATGTGGTCTAAACTGATATTTGAGCCAGGAAGGCTTAAATGCTCAAACATCAAAGGCTCTACATGCTATACTACCTGACATATACTCCCATTTAAGAGAATAAAATGCCAACCTTTAGTAGAGGTGGAAGTGTCTTCTTCTGATTTATTTAGCTGATGATTCCTCCCTTTCCTCTGTCTTTGGATCTGCACTCTGCTGAGGCCTCACAGGATATAACAGTGCTTTCTAACTTCCTGCTAGGAGACACTCATACCTTACTAATGAGGGGGCTTTTCTCCTCTCCAAGTCTCAGAGAAGGAACTGGGAAATATAGGACCACAAAGCCAGCAATTTCAGGGGCACTGTAGAAGAACCTTCTGTTGGTTTATGCCCTTAAGTGCAGAAGTGGAGGTCAGGACGAATATGAGCTTTTTTATATATATAAAAAAACTTTCCCATTTTTTGCTTTAAGCAGACAGAAATAAGTTCAATGCATTCAAGGACAGAAATTATTATTTGGTCATGATGACCAATTACGACATTTGATATTAATAGAATACAGTCAGTGTTCAAAGCACTTGAAAATAGTAAGTAATTTATGCGTTTTTCTTAAGAGAACTGCAATATCACTGCAATCAGTATAACAGCCCTATGAGGTAGGTCACTGTCATAAGTCCCCTGCTCCCCAGTCTCATTATGGATTTGGATAGGGCACTCAGGCTGAGAGAATAATGGTTTGATTTCTTGCTACATGGTGAGTATTTGATTAAGGTCAACCTAGAACTAAATTAGTAGCATACAACAAGAACACAATTTAATGTGATGTTCTTTAGCAGCCTTAATTCTAAGAAAAGAAGGACTTTGCTATACCTCTCTTAAATTCAAAGATATTATGGCTGGGATCTAAAGAGACATTTTAGCTGCACTTAAGCCCAAAGGATTGGATGTCATGCATTTTAACAGTGGCTTCCAGGTTGTATCTTGAATTGCTTTGGAAAAAAAATTTGCAGCATCAAAAGCATGCTACTGATGTGGCAGGAATGATGAGTGGTCAAATTGCTGTTCAGCAAATCCATACAAAATGAGTTCATTGGCCTCACTGGATGGGACCAGAGTCCATCTAGTACAGCATCCGCTTATCCACTGTGACCAACCAAATGTCTCTGGCAAGCCCACAAAGAAATGAGCCTTGAAAATGTTACTGTTCAGAAGTAATCCATTTCTATTACACTCCTATTACATTATTGTTACAGAAAGTAATTTGTTATTTTTCTTCATAAGTAGTTCATTGGCCGAAATCTTGTTGAGCTGTTAGGCAAAAGGCATAACTTTCAAAGGCTAATTGCCTCAAGTTGCGAAATCTGCATAGACATTATCCATTATATGCTGGGGCCACAGTCACACAAGATAAATGCCCTCCTTTCTTCTGTCTTTTGCTTCCTGTAGAGTTGCACATTGTGGTAACGTGGCATATATCCTGTGATAGTGGTTCACATTTTTTTTTAACCATTCCACTTTTGGTGGTGAATTAGATGTGGTACATTTGTCTACACCACTTGAATGGGACATATCCCCTTCCTTTTCTTGTGCCTTTCTCTGCTCCCTTCCCCCCTTTTTAAAAAATGTGTGGGTACATCACTGTGTCAGCAAAATGACCTTGCTGACCATGTACTGATAGGAGCCATTTCTTCCTACCCCCCTTTTAAAAAAATGTGTGGGTACATCATTGTGTCAGCAAAACGACCTTGCTGACCATGTACTGATATGAGCCATTTCTTCCTATTTCTGTGCTTCATTACCCTCTGTGGAGGAAAACCCATGACACACTGCAGTGGCAGTCAAAAGACAGTAGGGGGACTGATGTGCCATATTTGACAGACGTACATCAATCCACTGACATTCCTGTTTGAAAATTAATGGAAAAAATTAAGGGAGTTGAACAATACTGGGTGAGGGAGGTAGGACTGCACGCCAGAAGAAATTAATTGATTTTGGAGAACACACTCAGTAGCATGTTGGTTGTACTGAGCAATGAAACACAGAACAAATATAGTAGTAGCCTCCCAGTGGACTGGGATTTGGAGATAGCACAGATGGGCAACAAAAAGAATTGATCATGGCCTTACATAATTTGAAAACCCCCACAAAGGATAGAAAATTACGAGGAATAACTCAGAAACATCTTGCTGGTGTGACTACAGCCAGAATTGCAGAACTAAGCATGGAACATACTATGTCTATGGAGAGTTCTTGATTTGAGGCAATTTACCTCCAAACGTTTTCCCTTTGGGGTAACAGCATAACAGGATTCCAGCCACATGTGGCCTATTCAGTTGCCTGTCACTTTTTGGCTACTCCTTTTCTGGGGGTAAAAACCCTTCCGCTCAATTAGACTCTAATTATTAGAGAACAGCCAACTGGAAAAGCTCCTTTCAATTTACATCAAAAATGCCCCTTAAAAGTAAGTTTTAACTGGAAAGTGTTACTCATCACACCAATAATGGAACTTTTCACCCACTTCTTGTGTTACTATTGAAATGTACATTCCTTAAACTCATATTACCATTTTTTGAAAAATTCACTACAGTTTAATTACATTACTTGTAGCTTATTATTTCCATCTTTCAGTCCATCAACCATACGGACTCTTGCCCTGGCAACAACTAGTGTTCAGTAGCACATTGCCTCTGAGCGACGTTTCATTTCCATGAAGCCTGTCCTATAGTTTCAAATTTTAAATTTGTACCAAAAGAGAAGTTTGATTAGTTATTCCTCCCTTCATAAGCTGATAAGTAAAAGTTTTTTTAAAAATCTGTCTTTTTCTTAAATTACTTTGTTAAGGCCATTGTGAGCATTCAGATCATGTTCCCAATGCTTTGTACAATTAGCTAGTAGCCTATAATTTTATGGGGCCAAATGTAGCACTTACCATAATCAAAAATGGCTGCATATTTTTAAGGTGCTGTGTTCACGGCTATAGGCGTCTGCGAGGGCATTCCATGGGAGAGATGGGGGATGGGCTGTACAGCTGAGCAAAAAGATGAGACAGGATTGCGAGCGGTCCAGTGCAACTTCCTCAAGAAAATGTTATAGTTGTCCATGTATTCTGATGACCAGGGATTGCTGGTGGAAAGAGAAAGCACAGGGAAAGGTAAGATTTGATACAGTACAGACAAAGGTTAGTATCCTATCTACAATCGCAGAGCATAATGTTCTGTGGGTTTAGTGCTCATGCTAACTGAAGTTCTGTCCTTACCACCACACAGTCACACTCACAGGGGAAGGGAGGCCCTTGAATCAGCTCTTGAACCACACAATAGGCCTTCAAGGCCAGTGATTTCCAACCTTGGGTCCTCACATATTCTTGGATTACAACTCCCATTAATCCTGGCCAGCACAGCTAGTGATGAAGGCTTCTAGATGTTCCAGAACATCTAAGGACCCAAGTTTTGGAAACACTGTTCTAGACAATTTATTGGGACCACACCCCTGTTGTACCCAAAGTAACAAAGAAGTTATAGTTACACTGAAAAAGATGTGCTACCCTTCTTAAAATTACAGCCACAATGTAGCTTACTTATACCTTCATTAACAGAACATGGAACTCATTGCTCATCAACTCATTATTTGTAATGTGGAAAATGAAATCTTTGCATAGAAGCACAAACTTTATTGTATTGCCTAGTCTCTCTGTATTTACCACCAATAGTTCTTACTTTTTGTAGTAGCCATCTTCTAAGAGGAGATTCGAGAAATTCCGATTCGCTCGGCAAAATCCACCCCGGATTCTGGGCCAGCATTTGTAATCCCTTTGGTAAGTACTTGCATCAGTACTCCTGATGAAATCTGTGAAAAGAGCAAATAACAAGCCACTGAATGGAGCTTTCACAACTTACATATTGTTATGAGTTTCATACATTTTATTCTGCGCTGCTTTAGAAATAATGACATTATCAGTTTTAGTGACACAGGTAATGGATGATTCAGAATGACCTAGGATCTATTTAATTAATTTCAACTGACCTCTTGGAAATACAGACGTTTCCAGATTCAGCCTCTTAATTTCTTGAACTTGTACTTGATTAGCTCGCCGGTTTTCCAAGAGGAATTGCTGATAACTGTTCCAGTTCTGGCCCTGTTCTTGCTTGATGCATGGCACATCTGTGTTACCTGTAAAAAATCAAGTCTATAAGCAAGACAAGCAAGAGGACCTGCTGAAAACCTGGGTGTTGGCTTTTTGGCTTGGACTGTGTCTGTTGTGCTTTAACATGAGAAAGAACATTGTTCGACTGATCAGAAAAAGCCAGTCAGTGGTTGGAGCTCATCCACATGGGGAGAACTGGTTGCCAAGAGTGCTTGACTCAGTCCTTCCAATTGACAGGCATAGCCCTTCCTTCCTGAAGATTCACTGCAGAACCACCTTCCTCTGCCAATATACTTGGCAATCTTAGGGTGCTTATTCATAATAAGAGCTCACATTTCTCCAAAAGCCTCTTCAAACATCTCATAGAGCTTTAAGGGGAAGTCGGTTCTTCTTTAATAAAAGAATTTGTTATGGACAAAGCCTTGAAGTAGGGAGGAAACCTGTCTCTTTTTTGGGGGAAAAAGGGAAGAAAGAAACCCTCAGTTTCTGGTCAAATGATTGTTCTGTTGATTATTTATTTACTTACTTACTTATTTATTTTGTGCCCCGCCCATCTGGTCCTATGACAACTCTAGGTGGCTGGTAGAGTAGGTGAAAGAAACCCTCTGTTTCTGGTCTAATGATTGTTCTGTTGGATACCTCTTCTGTCACAGCTAACCATCTCTCAGGTCCAAGTTAAACTATACATTTAACATGTCATCAGAAGGAGAACAACCAAGAGGGGAAAATATTATCTGCTTGCCTCTATCTGCATTTTTGGTAAATCAGCCTGACTTTGTCTGCAACTATCTCATTTTGGAGATAGTCATCATGTCCGATGTCTCTGGCACATACCTCTGGAAGAGTCTGTGCTTGGAAGAGTAACATTATAAGAGAAAGAAATACACATTTGCCTTAATATGGGATCTGACCCATAAGGACAAGGAGGGAATTCTGTACTTGTCCCCTGCCACGAGTTCAAAGTACCTTGTAAGGAACTTTAGGGGTTTATTTAGAACTGTCTCGTTTAGCGACTTGTCTGGTTTTGCCACAATCCTATGCCCACTAATCTGGGAGTAACTGCAGTGGGATCTCCTTCACATCTGCAACTATCTCATTTTGGAGATAGTCAGCATGTCTGATGTCTCCGGCACATACCTCTGGAAGATTTTGTGCTTGGACGAGTAATGTTATAAGAGAAAGAAATATGCGTTTGCCTTAATATGGGATCTGACCCAAAAGGACAAGGAGGGAATTTTGTACTTGTCTCTTGCCACAAGTTTAAAGTACCTCGTAAGGAACTTAAGGGGTTTATTTAGAATTGTCTAGTTTAGCCACTTGTCTGGTTTAGCCACAGTCCTATGCCCATCTGGGAATAATTGCCATTGCATGCAGTGGGATCGCCTTCACCGTAGGCATATATAGGACTGTGGTGTTTAGAATAAGGGCATGTCCAAACAGGGGAAGTTAGAGTTATCTGGTTTACACTTAAAAGGTTCTTATTAGAGATGGGGATGAATTGGAAAAAAATTGTGCTTCGTTGGGATTGTCATTCATCAAAGTTGACTAATGGATGAAGCGAGCAAGCACCAAATTTTAGCAACACATTAATTCATATTCATTGATTCCTTATTAAAACACAATGTCCCACCAAACAGCTGATCGGCGGGACATTGAGGAGCAGGCTGGGTGCGGGAAGGCAAACTCTGTTTCCGTTCTGCAGCCAGCTTGCAAAAAGGATGAATAAAAATGGGTAAAAATTCATCCTTTTGTATTCATTGGGGTCTCCAGACTTGATGAATATGAAGGGAGGAATCTCCCGTAAATCAGTGATATTTCACGATTATTGAGATTCTTTTTTAAAATTTGTCTCCATATCTAGTTCTTCTCTTTTGTGCAGTCTATTTTATCTCATTTGAGCACTCATCCAGCAGAATGTGGCAACTTTCCTCTTTTTTTCTTTTTTTTTTGGTAAATAAAGTAAGTAACATAGTAAATTTGTCTCCATATCTAGTTCTTCTCTTTAGTGCAGTCTGTTTTATCTCAATTGAGCAATCATCCAGCAGAATGTGGCAACTTTCCACTTTTTTCTTTTTTTTTGTTAAATAAAGTAAGTAACATAGTGAAACACCCATGCTAGCATGATACACATAATACTACCAATATATCTTGTTTATCTAGAATAGCACTGCAGCAATAGAAGAATATTTTTAAAAATTGTTTATCTAGAATAGTACTGCATCAATAGAAGAATATTTTTTTAAAAAAATAAATAAATGGTAGAGTAGGTGAAAATAGTGGAGGGGGACATTTGCCATCATCTCTTTCAATATCACAACCCACCAGATATGCCAAAGGGTTGTCACCTCAGATAAAACCACCCACAACTCTATTTGGGTGTAAACTAAGTATCTGCATACGCTACAGAACAGGATTATTGGGAGTGCTTAGATTCATGCCAAAACAACCTGTAGCCCTAGCGCTGTGCCAAAAAAGAGTGGGACAGCTCTCAAAACGAGTTGGGTGGATCGCTCTAAGTCAAAACATGTGTGGATGGTGTCATTTGATTTGAATTAAACAGTACAGAAAGTGATCCAAATAGTGAGTTATATGCCCATCTGAACATGTTCTAAAATTCTTTTGTTTCTTTTTTATACTACCTATCTGATTCTCCCTGATTCCTAATTGTAATAAAAATAAAATGAGGAACTGGAGAGTTGTAAATGTATTTTTCCAAAAAGTTACCCCTCCTCCCACTTATTAATAGCATTTTCATGCAACATATTTTAATAAATAAGAGGTAAAGGAAGAAATGGGATAAATTCACACAGCAGAGTTTGAGGAAATACTGATTGGTAGTTGCCCTCTTCCCAGGACAAAACCACAGATCTGAGAGTGTCTTTATCTCCAATTATTTTAGTTCTATTGCAGCAAAAAATACAGAGAAATTTTGCAAGCAGGCCCGCCCTATACAGCAGCCAGCTACATTCACTACACTTGTTTCCTTGTTCCCACTCCAAACCACATATGAATGAAAGGTTGAAGGGCCTGAATGGGAAAGGGTCCCATGCCTCTTTACCTGTCAGAGCAATAGCATCTGCCAGCTGAGCTAATCTCTCAGCTTCCTTTTCTTGAATTGCAGTTGGATCAGCAAGAGGAAGGGAGTGGTTCCATTGTTCTTCTTGGGCTTGTTGGTTTGGCGGTGGAGCTTCTAGGCCTTTTGAGGCCCTCCCAACCATTCCTACAGGATAAGGTGGCTGAACTTCTTGACAGCCAGGCTCCTCAACATATTTCACCGGTTTCTTCTGAACAGGCCTTGCAAGCTCCTTCTCCTTCAGCTGGGCTTCCAGTTTTAGTCTCTGAAAAAATAATAATGAGTCACATAAACAGTGGTTGTATTCAGGAAGGTTGCTAAGGATCCCACATGCTGCAAATATAGATTCAACAGTGAATACTTATGAAAGATCTGTCATTATATTCATATTGTACCGTATTGATGTTGTCAACAGCTAGAGATCACTAAAATACAGCAGAGACTAACTAAAAAACCCCAGCTATTGTGAAAAACTGAAAAAAGAGACAGAAAAAAAATTTAATTGAGTCATCCACAGGTCACTGGGTGGGTTTCAGATTTGTGTAGCTCTTTGGCATGGAAATGTGTATTATGGCTAAAAAACTGATCTTATAAACCTTTATCTTAAAAATCTATTTTATTTAATTAGATTATTCTAAGTATAGTTTAACATGCCCCCAAATCATGTGTTCCTTGTTCTAAAGACATAATTTTGGACCAAATAAACAATGGTATATCTTGTGTGTTATATTCAAAGTTCTCTATAGGAAGCATTCTCTAAAACTAAATGGTACATGATACAGTATATGTAATTCTGTGTGCAATGCATTACACTGCCTTTTAAAAATATGTAGCAATATGCATTATATAGTATTCTGGCTTGTTGAAAAACTGTATCTTATATCTGTACTTTTACATCAAAGATTAACTTAACCGTTTTTCATTCTAGACGTATTCTCACAACTGCTTTCCATTTAACTTGAACAGGGAATTGAAATGAAGGGTTCATTTATTCTTATTACTGTTGTTGTTATTTTTGTTTGTTGTTGCTATTATTACTATTATTACATTTTCCCCATCTTTCCATTACAAAGTAGTGCTCAAGACAGTTTACAGTGATCATATAATAATAATTTTTAAAAAATAGAAAACAGATCCAGCCTTAACACTTAAAATCTGATTTAAAAAGCAGATTCACACACTCTGCTTCTCCACTCCCAGCTTTCTGGATGCCTTCCTTAAAGCTTACTTACAAACTCTTACAACAAGGGTTTTTGTGACACCTAAAAGGCATGTAAGTTCTATTTGACATAAGCTTTCATGGACTGCAACACTGTGGCCTGTAATCCATGAATATAACAAAAATAATAACCTCTCAAGTCAGTTTTGAAGGGCACCCTGAAACTGTACAGCAGGCTTGTCCAACCTGCAGCCCGAGGGCCGCATGCAGCCCAGGTCAGCTCATAATGTGGCCCAGTGCAATTTTTTATTTTTAAAGAAATTCCAAAGTTTCAAGTTACACTGCCGGCACTTGCGGCCGGAATGCGGCTGGGGCACGTCACAACGGTGGGGGGGAGAGGGAAGGAAGGAGTGGGAGGGGAGGGGAGGGGGGGCTGCATGACTGCATTGCGCCATCCCCGTCAATAGGTGGACCCCCTCCCGGCCCCATAAAGCCACCGGAGTCGAAGCTGGCAGCCTTTGCTGGCTGAGATCGCAGCTGTCAGTAAGCGCGCTTGGAGCGGGACTGCGGAGGACGCCTAGGGCTGCCCCCCTGTGGCCCAAACCAAATTTATGTGCGGCCCAAACCAAATTTTCATCTTCTAATGTGGCCCAGGGAAAGTGAAAGGTTGGACACCCCTGCTGTACAGCTTGCCAAAAGACACACAGGCTGGCTCTGGCTCTCCTCCTGAAACAGTGAGGAATCAAACTCCCAGCCTCTGGCTCTGCAGCAAGGTCCTCCAATTCATTAAGCGATCCAGCCACTAGTCCACAAAAACATGAGCCAAATAAAACTTAATAGTCTTTAGGTGCCACATGACTCCTTGCTGTTTTTGCTGCAACAGACTTAGGCCCTGGTCACATGAGAGAATTTTTTCTAGTTCTTCTGATACTTTCCATACCTCTGTTGTACTGAACTGTGGTCACGTGGTTTACATCAAGGACAAACGTCCCAAGAACTTCTAGCAGTACTGATTTATTTCTTCCTGTGTGAATTGTTATCCTCTTTATTGATACATCCACAGAGGGGTGGAAATTAGAGGGATTGATGGGGAAGGGGTTTCTGTTTAGGAAAGTGTCCCTCTGTTACACTGGCTGCTCTTGCAGAAACGCATTGCACACAAAGGACTTGTTATATCCGTGCAGCAGTACTGACAATCACACATCCCTGTGACATTGGCATACCAAAATTTCAATGTCTCTTCCAACAGGAAAAATAAAATCACTTGCCAGCAATGTAATGGTGGTGGTCCCCTGGCGACATACTTTTACAATGTATTGATGTATCAGGCACAACTTTTTAATTTTTTTTTAAAATAATGTGTGCACTGCATAATAGGGGCCACCTTCCTGGCTTTGATTCTGAACAGAAGAGGGGCAGGTACTGCACACAGGCAAACCTGGTAAGAAATGCACCAGTGCAACAAAGGTACAAAATAACACAACCGTCCTGGCAATGCGGAAATGTTTCATGGTCACACCACTAGCCAGAAAATGTCTTGGTCTTGACTCTGTGTCATGTGATCAGGAAAAAAAATACTGACATAACTGGTCGATAACTACATAACATTCCCCTCATGTGACCAGGGCCTAATTTGGCTACCCTTTCCCTCCAGCAAACTAAAATATTATTTGTCTCTATAAATTGCCACAGAGTGCTGAAATGGATAAAACATGTGTGGACAAATGTGGAGAAGAACATCTGCAGCATATCTTTTTCCTCAGTGCTGCAGTAAAACAATCCATGTGCATATTGTGCACCATTACAACATTGCAGATCTGCTTATGTACATTAAAATAATAAATACATTCACAACTGCATGGAGGACAAGCAAGCAATCCCTCCACACACTCATGCTTGTGGACAATTCTATAGAAGACATTTCCAGAGGCCTCTGGAAGTATTTTCTAATGTCCTTATGACAATAAATGGTTTTTTACTAAAAGACTTTTGAAAAATTATCATGCCATGATTATAAAAATGTATCTTGCATCTTTAGCTAGGAAAACACAAAGTTTGTGGCCAAGATAAGAGAGACATTGCATACCTGTGAAGGGTCCATCATGGGACGCCACTGATGATGTTCCGCATAGGGCTTGTAGTCGACCATGTACAATGTTCTATACATCCCCTGGTCTACATGTGGCTGAACAAGAAGAGGGGTGGGGGAAGGAGGAAATATATAATTTAAATTAGTAAGATTTCTCTTCTCTAGATTCCTGCCTAAAACAGAGGAATGGAGAAAAGTTTTGAATTCTAGAAAATGACATATAAACTTTTAGTCTGAAATGCTTTGTGAAAAAAGGGGGGGAAAAGACTTGGGCACCATGGGCTCTCTGTTGTCTTCCTCAGCTTGCATATTTGCGGGTGTCCTGAAGGAACATTTTCACTATTCAGAACTCTGGCACAATAGCCAGGATCCTACCTATTTTTCTTTTATGCTTGTGTAGTCACATAAGTCTTAGCAGCATATTGCCGTGTTAGTTGTGTCCCTAGGTATGTGTCTGATCACATGTATGGCCCAGTTATGCAACTTGATAAAGAGCCAGCGTTTGCTGCCAAGATTTATACAATTTCCATGATGATTACAATAGGACCCCTATATCCACAGCGGATCGGTTCCAAGTCTGCCACGGATTCTCGAAAACATGGATTATAGCAGACACTATGTATAACATGGTCTCTGGCTCCCTTTAGTGACCAGCTCTGGTAACTTCTTTAGAAATTATATTTCTAGGATTTTTCTTTAAATATTTTTAATATTTTCAGACTGTGAATAAGTGAATCAGCTGATACAGATCCTATAAGTAAGGAGGTCCTACTGTCTGTTTTATATAATAATAAATTGTATACCCTTAAGTCAATTCTGACATACTGTGACCTTTTTTTAGGGTTTTCTAGGTAGTGAGTAATCAAGAGTGGTTCATTATTGGAGGCAGGGCTAGCTGGATTTTGGACGAGCTCCAGAAACTAACCAAGGCCCCTTGGTTTCAAAGCCCCCAAATTTGGGGGCAAAATGACGGTCCACTAAGCAACGTCTGAAGCAGCAGAGGTGACAGAAAGAGGGAGTGAAGATGGTGGAAATTGTTTTCCCTCATGAAGTCTCATCTGAGTGCACGGACCAAGGAGGAAGCCATCTTGGGCAAAGAGTTGGGAACACCCCTTGCAGAAAGTGGAAGAGTACAGAAGGAAAATATTTTGACCAGGACTCTGAGTAAGTCAAGATGTTTGTTTTATATAAGGAAAACCTTTATAGACCTAAAACAATTGTACAGAAAAGAGCTGGGCATAACAAGTCAGTGAAAGTGGATTCTACCTTTTAGCTTTTTGAGCTGTGGTCGAAGCGAGCCTCCCCAACCCTCAGCCTTGACTGGGAGAAGGAGAAGAAGAGTGAAGGAGAAAGAGGTAGGAGGGGGAGAAAGTCATTTTGTGAATAAACTGTATTAATTGAAGGCAAACACTTGCTCCCGTGGGAAAGTGCAATTTTAAACTGTCTAATTACAATGTTGATGCTTGTTACTAGAACCATCGACTTGAACTTTTGAAGAGTTTTAGTTTGTTTACCACCATCGGATTGGAGGCATCTCTGTTTTTCTTTGGTACCGCAGTGGAGGCAAGCCTCCCTCCCTCAGCCCTGAGCAGCTTTGATCTGAAGGGGGAGAAGGACATTAAATGAAGGAAACTGTGTCAAGGAAGGCAAAGTCTCAACCCCCCCATTACCTACCACCAATTATGGAGGCTGGAGAGATTGTTGAACTGCTAATGTTACTTGCCTCAAGGCACTGTCTGTTCCCTTAAACACTCATTGTTTTGATTTGCTGACTATGGGAACTTTTTAACTTGAGGAGAGCTCTAATCTACATTTTGGATTTTTTTTGTAAACAGTGCTGAATGAAAGGAAAGTAAGGCAACACTGACACCTGCTGGGATGAGACTCAGAAAACACCCTTAAAAATGGGGGGGGGATATGGTGACAAAAGGAGAAAAAGAAAAAATGTTAAGAGGCTCACCTGCAAAAGACCAAAGTCTGAGTAAGTTATCAGAGCAAGAGACACTTAAGGCTCGGCAACAGAGCGTTCAAGGTATGTTATCTACAGGGTTACAGCAGTTACAAGGAGGGATGGCTCAGTTATCTGAACAAATGAAGGACTTAGGGATGCAAATGACTGATATTAAATACCAAATTACAGAAAATAAAAAAGAAATAGTAATGGCCTTAAAAAAAGAGTGGAGACCATGAATGAACAGCTGAAAGAGATACAACGTGAAAGAAAACAAAATGAAATCAGCTTGCTAAATCTACAAATGGAGAGATCCAACCACATACTTAGATTCCAGAATTTTCCAGAACAAAAACAGTGCAATCGGTAACTACTTTTTTAGCCCCACTCATGGAGATGTGATCAGAGGAAATTCAGCAAAATATAGATATAGCATGAAGAATTACTACAGCATACACCAGAAATAATCAACTTCCCAGGGAAATTCATGTTAAATTCATGAGAATGGCATTTTGAGACAAAATTCTAAGAAACATACAAGATAAAGAATCTAGTATAAAAGATAAAGAAATTAAGATTTTGAAACATATCCCGTGGCAAATAAGACAGAAAAGGAGACAATATGTGGAGCTGACATCCCTCTTGAGAGCAAATTCAACTACATACAAGTGGTTGATACCTGAAGGTGTTGTTTTTTTTTCATTTCCAGTAACAGAGATATTCTATTAACTTAACAATGAAGGCAGAAGACTTTATGGGGAAAAGGGGGAAATGGCTAGGTAGGAAAGAAGGGGGAAAGGCAGATGAGAAACAGGAAGAGGGGCAATCAAGTGGACCATGAAGACCAAACTCAGAAGGAAGTTCAGAATCTGAGTTAGAAGATCAAATGGGAAGCACCAAAGGAAAGTCCACCATAGAAACAAGAGGATTCAAGAGGAGGAGAGAAAACCTTAATAATAAAGATGGACCAAATGAATAAAAAAAGGCTCAGAATTCTTTCAGTTAACATAAATGGCTTAAACTCACCCCAAAAACGTGAAAGAATTTACCAACAACTGCAGAAATTAAAATTGACTATTATCTGCCTTCAAGAAACCCGTATGAAAAAAACACAGATCAACATCTTTTAGAAAAATGTTTTAAAATATGAGATTTATTTATAGCATCAGATGCAACATATATATGAAAGGAACTAGACCAAAAGTTAGTTTTTGCATCTGAGGACGTGAGGGTACTAATGGTGGAAATTCAAAATGAGGCAAAAAAGGTGTTTATCGTTAATATATATGCCCCCAATGAAAATCAAAAACTGTTCTATGAAGAACTTCAAAAAGAAATAGTAATGAGAGAATATGAGAAGTATTGTATATTGGGAGATTTTAATGCCATTTTTGACAGACATTTAAACACAGGAATGGGAAAAGAAAAATAATAAGTAAAATGTTATCAAAACCCTTTTTACAGCTAGCAGAAGAGCTTAATATGATTAACGCCTGGAGAACAAGATGTCCAAGTGCAAGAGACTTTACATTTTATTCGGATAGACATAAAAGCTTGTCGAGTTGGATCTTACTAGGTTGGATGGAAGAAGTATCGGAAATAGACATCTTGCTTAATACCTTTGCAGATCACAGTCCTAACTTGGTGCAATTGGAAATAGGACCTAAACCTATATATTGGAGATTAAATACAACCCTTTAAAAATGATATCCCTATTAAAAAAATAAGAGAAGAGATACACTTCCAGAAACATCAATGATCACAGTATGGGAAGCAAGTAAAGCCTTTTTCCAGGGGTTAATGATAAGATTCACAGCAAGACAAAAGAGAGAGAGGATAGCAAAATATTGAGATCTGGAATAGACATTGTTCTTGTGTGAAAAGCAGTTAAGGCAAAACCCAAGCAAGACACAATTGAGGAAGAAGATAAAATTAATACATCAATTGAATATTATGATGACAGAAGAAATGGTGAAAAGGATAAAATTCACAGGACATTTTTTTTTAAAAAAAATGCAAATAAACCAGGAAAGTGGTTGGCATATAAACTACAGAAAGAAAGAGAAAAATCCATAATTCAGAACTTGAAAGATGAGGAAGGAGTGATAAAATCTAGATAGGAAGAAATAAAGAGGATTGTAGATAAATTTTATCAAAATCTGTATCGGGAAATGGAGATCCCCAAAAGGAAACAGAGAGAGTATCTGTGGAAACATAGTAATATAAATCTGACAAGTGAACAGAAGCAGATACTGAATGAGACATTTTCATTTAATGAAATAGTAGAAGCTTTCAAGAAGCAATAGATGGGAAATCTCCAAGACAAGATGGGATTCCGGCAGAATATTACAAAACTTTTGAAGATATACTGCTTGAACCATATAAGAAGGTTATTGATCAAGAAGGGGGTAATCCCACCAACATGGACAGAGGCATTAATTACTACTATTCACAAAGAAGGAACAGATGCCATGGAAATTAAAAACTACAGACCAATATCACTCCTAAATGTGGATTATAAAATTTATGCTACAATATTGGCAACAGACTGAAAAGGGTTCTTTCACAAATAATTCATCATGGCCAGTCCAGTTTCTTATCAAAGAGACAAATGAGAAACAACCTTAAAATGATTCTAAATGTACTTGAATATTATGAAGTGCACCTGGAGAAATCAATGGCTACGATCTTTTTAGATGCAGAAAAGGTGTTTGACAATCTGAATGGAATTTCATGATACAGCAACTAAAACTGATGGATATGGGGGAAAGATTTATCACATCAATAAAGACTATCTATACCCAATAAAAAGCTAAAATAAAATCATTAATGGAGATTTTTTAAAAAAAAACATTCAAATACAGAAAGGGACAAGACAGGGCTGTGCATTATCTCCACTATTATTTATACTCGCATTGGATGTCCTCAATGAGCAAATTAGGATTAATAAGAGCATAAGAGGGCTGAAAATAAACGGAGAAGAATATAAATTACAAGCATTTGCTGATGATTTAGTTTTTATTTTGGATGAACCCATTAAATCTATTGATGAACTCATGGAAATATTAATACATTTTGGGGAGATGGTGGGAACGAAAGTGATTCAGCAGAAAACAAAAAATCTAGGCAAAAATATCTGAACTAAGGAGATTCATAAAGTGACAGACATGACGGCCTTCCAAGGGGGGGAAAGCGTTAAATATTTGAGAATCCAAATGACAAATAAGACAAGCTCATTAATAAAAGAAATCTACATGAAACTTTTCAATTAGATACAGAAAGATTTGGAAAAGTGGGATAAGCTACAACTTTCATTGATGGAAAGAATAGCAGTAATCAAAATGAATGTGCTACTTAAACTGATCTTTCTTTTCCAGACAATACCAGTGCTCCTAAGGCAAGCACTTCTTCAGGACTTTAACGAAAAAAAAATGAAATTTGTTTGACAAGGAAAACAAGAGGATTAAAGTGAAAACACTACACGACTCTAAACAAAGGGCAGGTTTTGGTCTCTTGGACTGGAATATTTACTACAGGGCCTGTGTACTGGCCTGGATCAAGGAATGGATTACTCTGGATAATGAGAGGTTGCTTAAACTGGAAGGACATGATCTTAGCCTGGGGTGGCATGCTTTTGTATGGTATCAAAATGCTAAAGATCATAAAGTCTTCAATAATCATATGATAAGAAAGTCTTTGTTATGGATTTGGAATAAGACACAAAAGCAAATGTACCAGAAAATTCTGGGGTGGGTGTCGCCATTAGAAGCATTTTGTACAGCCAACCTTAATGTAAACTGGAAGGACATGATCTTAGCCTGGGGTGGCATGCTTTTGTATGGTATCAAAATGCTAAAGATCATAAAGTCTTCAATAATCATATGATAAGAAAGTCTTTGTTATGGATTTGGAATAAGACACAAAAGCAAATGTACCAGAAAATTCTGGGGTGGGTGTCGCCATTAGAAGCATTTTGTACAGCCAACCTTAATGGACTCAGATAGATA